TTTAGGGCTGTTGTGCATAGGGTCGCTATGAGTCGCAAACGACTCGACGGCACATAACAACAAACAACAATGTCTTCCAGTTCACCCATTTTGTATCATATTTTATGAGTTCCTTGCTTTTCAGTGCTGCATAGTATTCCATTGTGTGAATATAACACAACTTCTCTGTCATTCATTTGTTGACTATCATTCATTTGTTGATGTACTCTTTGGTTGCTTCCATCTCTTTGCTATTGTGAACAACGCAGCAATAAACATGACTGTTCAGAGCTCTGACTTCTCAGACCCACCCTCTGTGGATTATCCTGTTGCAGCCTCAGCCACTTTTGGGCCTTACAGCACCCACTTGGGGCCTCCTGATATCTGTGGATGGGCCTCACCCAGCAAAGACAGGCCCTCCCTCTATCCTTCATCTCTGTCCACTCTCTATAGAGGACAGGCCCTCCCTCCTTCACCTCTGTCCTCTCCCTATAGAGGACAAGCCCGCCCTCTCTCCTTCACCTCTGTCCACTCCCTATAGAGGACAGGCCCTTCTTCCATCCTTCACCTCTGTCCCCTCTTCATGGAGGACACTACCTAACAAGGACAGGCCCTCCCACCATCCTTCACCTCTGCCGCCTCCCCCAGCAAAGACAGGTCCTCCACCACCTTTACCTCAGTCTACTCCCCATGGAGGACAGGCCCTCCCTCCAACCTTCACCTCTGTCTACTCTCCATGGAGGCAAGCTAGCCCTCCATCTTCCACCTCTATCTTCTCTGGTAGGGTGAAGACCACCTGACTGCCTTTGAAGAGGACAGCATCCCACTGGTGGCCAGACGGCCCTGTGAGAACCCCACTGAGGCCTGGAGAGGGCCCTTGGTACCGAGGCCCACTCACCTGACTACCAGCCCCACCATCCTTGCTGTACCCTCCACCCTGTCCACCTCGCCTCACCCTGCTGCTGGACCCTGGTGCCAATCCTCACAGTGCACAGGCCCCTGGGAGCACTGGGACTATGTCTTCGTGGCAGACCTGCGCCTGTCCCCAAAGCAACGTGATCGGCAGCAGCAGTACCTGCAGCAGCTGCAGAGACGGGGCTTCCGGTGCAAGGTGGCTCCTGGCCATGGGCTCAGGGTGGGAAGTCTAGGGTCTGCTGTGGTCCAAGGCAGCTCCCAGCTGTGAGGTCAGGGAAGGAGGTCTGGGGTCTGCTGTGATCCAAGGCGCCTCCCGGACATGGGCTTGGGGTGGGAGGACTGGGGTCTGATCAACTGGTGGGCTAGGGTGCCAGGGGGAGTGCCTTCGGGTACAGTAAGGGTCTCCTATGGCCCCACTCCCAGGAAATGAAAGACAGCCATAACCAATACTTTGGAATCCAAGCCATGAAAGAGGTCTTCCTCCCATACTGCAAGCTTCTCATGGAGCCCGAGGGGCCGGTGCTCAGTGCCCTGCCAGCTGAGAAGGACCTCACCCTGGACACCACAAGGTGAGGGGCAGAGCAGCTGGAACCGAAGGACAGGTTGTCATCCTGGTCTTTCAGAATGGAGGGCCAGCCTCACCAGGGTCTCTTGTGGCTCTGCATGTCAAATGTGATGCAGTTTCTGGGGATGGAACAGCAGGGTGACCTTCAAATGTGGACAAAATTCCAAGTGGATTGAGACCACCTTGAGCCCCAGATCCTGCCTGTGTGTCAGGCAGGTGGAGGTGTATGGGGCTGGACCAGAGATACTCTGGGCACTGATCAGAGCACAGGTCAGGAAGACGGAGGCTCCCACCAGGGTGGGCAAAACTGCCGGAGGGTGGGGTCCTCCTCAGGGCATGGGGTGGCTAAGATCCCCTGTGTTTCAGGATCTGCATCATGCACACCTTCATCAACAACATCAAGACAGCAGATGGGGGTGAGGAGGGGGGTCTCCTCAGATGGACAATATCTGTAGCTGCCTGCCCATGGGGACAGGGGTGCTGGCACCCCATTCTGACCCACTTGCTCCATGTGAACTCAGAGACCTTTGAGCATTTGAAGAAGGACCACGTCTTCCAGACTGGATTTTTCCTGCATAAGGTGGGAGCTTGCCATGGGGCAGAGCATGGAACAGGACCTGGAAGGGAGGCGAACCTCAGGAAATGGGCCCAGTGGAGAAGTATGTTCTGCAAACAGCCAATTGATGACATCAGGTAATAGCCACTTGTGCCCCACCGGCCACCTGTGCCCTATGGCATACCTGTGCCCCACAGACCACCTGTGCTCCATGCCTGTGCTCCACAGGCCACCTGTGCCCCACAGACTACCTGCGACCCATACCTATGCCCCACAGACCACTTGTGCCCACAGGCAACCTGTGCCCCATAACTGTGCCCCACAGACACAACTCAGTAGAAAGTGTGTAGGTGTTAAAAGTGTGGCCACCTCTGACTTCCACTAATTCACAAAGGGAAACAGTCCTCATAACAATATTCACCCCACAGAACTAATTCCCATAATGCCAGACACAGCCTCCACAGTCCCCGCCTGCTTCCAAGCATCTCAGCACCATCATACTGCTCTGTTCCTGAGTCTGAAGCCCTCCACAGGAGCCACACAGACCTTCCAGAACCATAGTGAGGGTCATGCGGTTTACTGGGAAAGTTACCTGGTTACCATTGAGACTGGCAGCAGGATACAATTCTTCAGTCGGGACAGCTTCTCAGGCGGTGTCACAGGCCCTTTGACCTTCAGCCTCACAGCTTAGATCAGTGTTAGAGTTCCTTCAGTCCTGCCAGTCACGGGGTGTGCCCTCAGTCCTCCAGGAAGCTTGGGTGAAGCCCTCTGACTCTGGCTGTGTGGGGCAGCAGGCCCAGGTCAGCTCTGTCTCATGCTGGTCTCAACTTCTCTGCTGAGGCTGCCGCGGCTCCTGGTCTGGCTGGTGCAGGAACCTGTGGCTGCGATAAACTTGCTCAATTTAAACTTAGTGGGATGGCAAAGTGGACCAAACTCGTAATGATTACTTTATGCACACCCTGTTTTAGGTTCCCACCCATCATAAGGTGAAAGCCAAAGCTGATGCTAGAAAAGCTACTCTGAACAATAAGCCTCCTAAAGGCACATCTGTGTCCCTACACTGTCATGCTTCCAACATATACCTGTTCCCATACAGACTTTGCTGTGTTCCTATAGACACCTGTGCTGCTGTAGACACACCTGTACAAACATCTGTGCTGCTGTAGACACACCTGTACCTACAAACACCTGTGCTGCTGTAGACACACCTATACCCACAGACACCTGAGATACTATGGACATATCAGTACCCACAGACCCAGTGCTGCTACACACCTGTGCCGACACCAACATGCTTGACCCATATTTAGACACATCCCTGCCTTTCATGCAGACACTCCCTGACCCATGCATGCAAAGCTCCTTCCTGGTACCCCATCCCCATCCCATGATGGGACCAGGACCTGGACGTCCTGCGATGACACAGCTGGAGGTGTCCCTAATGGTCATTGTGCTGCAGGAGTTACTTTGGCGAGAAGGTGGCGCTGTATTTTGCCTGGCTGGGCTGGTACACCTTAATGCTGATCCCTGCTGCCCTGATGGGCCTTGCCGTCTTCCTGAGTGGTTTTGCCCTCTTCAACGCCAGCCAGATCAGGTGGGCTGGGACCAGGAGGTGTGGCCTTCCAGGCGGCCAGGGAATCTGAGGGCTAAGTGGCCAGGGCCAGGGGACCAAGAAGTCTGTGGCTGAGGGCAGAAGGTGGAGGTTGAGGACCTGGAGCTGAGAAAATGGAGGGTCTGGGGCCCTACATCTGGGAAGCTCAGCACAGCCCTACCCTTGCACTTAATGCCCAGCAAGGAGATCTGTGAGGCCAACCACATCCTCATGTGTCCACGTGGAGACCACCTCCTCAGGTACCAGCGGCTCTCCGATACCTGCACCTTTGCTAAGGTTCGTCCTACTGGGGTTCACCCACCGAAAGAGTAGGAACTTAGGTAGGGGCCTCCCAGAGTTGGCCAGAGTGTCCTGAGGTGCCTGTGCCCTGGGCGGAGACGAGCGCTGTCTGCCCACTCTTCCCCTCCCCAGCTCACCCACCTCTTCGACAATGAGGCTACTGTGCTGTTCGCCATCTTCATGGCTCTATGGGGTGAGTCATTACTGGACGTGGGGGACACATGGCCCCATCCCAGGCTGTGCCCTTCCAGCCTAGCTGCCACCCAGGGAGCCTCTTGACACCTTCCTACCTCCTGGGCGGCAGCCACTGTGTTCCTGGAGTTCTGGAAGCGGAAGCGCTCTGAAGTGGTCTTGCACTGGCACCTGTATGGCTGGGACGAGGATGAGGTGAGAACGCCTTGGGCTACACCTGAGGCCTGTGCCACGGCCAGTACCTGTGCCTGCTGTGTCCTGTCCGAGGTGCGTGTGCTTGTCTGCACCATGCCTGCCGTGTGTATACGTGCTGTGTCTGCAGCATGTGTGTGTCTACATTGTCACGTCTGAAGCATGCGTGCATGGCCGTGCCAACTGTGCTTGTCTGTACCTGCACATGCGTGCTACAGTGGAGGCCAGTATGCTGTGTGTCTGTGCCTCAGGTGTGTGTCTGAGGTATGTGCACGTTTGAGATGTGTGCGTGTATTTGAGGTGTTTGTGTGTGTGTGTGCCTGTTGGAGGTGCATGTCCAACATGTGGGTGTGTTCGAAGCATTTGTAAGGGTGTGTGTGTGTGTGCATTTGAGGTGCACACGTGGTTTTGAGGTGTGTGTTTATGACTGAGGTGCTTGTGTGTGCATATGCATGTTTGAGGTGTGTGTCTGTCCGTGCTGCTCATGTGTTTTCAAGGTGTGCATGTGTCCCAGGTGCGCATGTGTCTGAGGTGTGTGCATCTTAGATGTGAAGGTGTCCATTGTGTGAGTAGGGCTGAGGGTGCTGTCTGAGGCAGACACCTGTCTGCCATGCACACCTGTCTGAGGTGCTTGTTTCTGAGCTGTGTGGTGCCTGCCTGCAGGAGGAGATGATGCTGGAGCTGATTTTCTGCCCTGAATACCAGCCCAAGAAGCACAGGCACTCCTACCTGTATAACATCCTCATCCTCGCCCTGTCTCTGGTCATGGTACTTGGGCTCAGGCCCCGTCCTTGCCCCCCTCCCCTTACCTGTCCCCCTAACTGGTCCCCTCTCACTCTTGTGCTTTCGTCCCTTCCATCTGTCTCCTGCACCCCTGCTTCTCACCACCTCCACCCCCCACTGCCCAGATCTGCTTCATGATTGGAATGGCCCATTTCCTGGTCATCTACCGTGTCCTGGTTGCTGCCCTCTTCAGCCACTGGGCCTCACCTGTCTTGGCAGAGCAAGTGACCACAGCCGTGGTGGTCTCTGGGGCCCTCATGCACTATGTGACGATTGTGATCATGACCAAGGTGGGGACTGGAGAGAGTGGGCCAAGGTGGGGCTGGGCCAAGCCCAGTGTGAGGCCCTGACTTCATGCCCACCCTGCAGGTCAACAGGCGCGTGGCTCTGAAACTCTGTGAGTTTGGTAAGAGGGGACTAGGGTCTTGGAATCTCTTGCCTGGTCTCTGGTCCAGCCTGAGGCTGTAGGACCAGTGAGCCACAGGTGAGAGAGGGCCAGGGTCCCAGCTACCTCAGCTGTAAGATGGGACAGTCCTGGGTGATGGGAAGGAGGCCAATCAGAAGATGACCCACCATGTCTCCTTCCAGAGAGTCCCAGGACTGTCTCTGAGCGCGAGAGCAAGCTCACAGTAAAGTTCTTCATGCTGCAGTTTTTTGCCCACTTCTCCTCCCTGGTCTACATCGCCTTCATCCTGGGCAGGTAGGTGGTCCCGTGGCTGCCTCCCGCCCACCTAGCCCTCCTTTCAAAACCAGCCCCTTGCTCTTTGTGGTAGTTAAAGAACTCTTGCTCCACACGAGTACGATGTAGACTCGCTTGCCCCGGTGGCTCCGAGCCTGTGGTCAGCAGCAGAGCTGGCTGAGCGTGGCTGTGCAGCCTCACACTTGTGTTCCTCGTGGACCCTGGTGGCTTTGCTCTGCGGATGAGTGTATCTGTAACTGGGCACCGCGGCCACCACATCCGTCCGTGGTGGGTGTGAGTTACTCCCACTGTGCATCACTGACACACACACTCTAATATACCCACACTGGGGCTAGCATTTCATTTTAATGTTATTGCTTCAAAACTGTATTGTTTCAAATGAATGTTTGAATCATAGTTTGAACGTTTACAGAGCAAATTAATTTCCCATTCTATTACTTATACATGGTGTTTTGTGACATTGGTTTCAGTCTTCTCAGGGCAACAGCACTCTTCCCACTTCCTTCCTGTGGTCCCCATGTCCCCTCCTCCTCCTCTTCTCCTGCCCTTCTGGCCCTCAGAGCTTTGTTTGTGGCCCAGTGCCTCTGTTTCTTGCTGGCAACATTATTCCCTTTATAAGCTGTGTTTTTGTTGTTGTTAGGTGCCCTTGAGCTAGCAGGACCTTGCCTGCCTGGCTCTGCTCTGTCCTCATATCCCCACCACACTCAGGGCCAGTGCATGCTAACGGGGGCAGTCTAGCTTGGTAAGGGTCTTCCTCTCTGTCGCTGACCTTCTGATGTTCCAAGTCCAATTCCTTTCTCAGGGAACGACCTCTCTTGATAACATGCCCAAAATATGGGAGATGAAGTCTCTTGATTCTTGCTTCTAAGGAGTAATCTGGACACATTTTTTTCTAAGACCGATTTCTTTGTTGTTTGGGAAGTTCATGGCCTGTAAGGTTTCAAAATGTTTAATACTCTTTTTTAAAAAAAAATTATTTTATTATATTTTGTGTGTGTACTGTCAAATCAGATCTGACTGGTACAAGAGGAGATTGCCCCTCCTTCTCCAGCAAAGCATCTGGTGGATTTGAACCACATACCTCTGTAATTGCAGTGCAGCTTCTTGCCACTAGGCCACCAGAGCTCCCTATCAAAATGTTTAATACTCTTACCTTGGTCTCCTCTGGCAGTTGTTTGGTCGCAGGGTCTGGGGCCTGCTGGTTTTGAAGGACAGCCCATCTCTCCAGCTCTCTGCTCGGCGGGGAGCCCCTATTCTTCATGGACTCATTCATGTGTTTTGGCTTTCCCCATGTTCTTAGCTGGTATTTCGCTGTGTTAATTATTGCTCGATGTTTTGCTGTCATACAGGCCTGTTGTTGTTAGGTGAGGTCCAGTCAAATGCAACTCATGGGGCCCTCATGAACAGCAGATCTGAACCTGTCCTGTCCTGTGCCGTCCTCATCGTCTCTGACACACTCAAGCCATGAATGCAGTCACTATCAGTCCATTTGGTTGAAGGTCTTCCTCTCTTTCACTGATCCTCCACCTTTCTAAGCATGATGTCCCTTTCCAAGGAATAGCCTCTCCTAGCAACATGCCCAGAGTATGTGAGATGAATCCTATTATCCTTGCCTCCAAGGAGCACTCTGGCTGCACTTTCTCCAACACATACCTACTCTTTTGGCTGTCCATGGGATATTCGTTGTTCTTCTCCAACACCACAACTCAAAGGCATCTATTCTTCTGTCATCTTTGTTCATTGTGTAGCTCTGATATGCCTATTAAGTGATTGAAAAGAGCATAGCCTGAATTACATGCACCTTAGGCTTTAAACTGACTTCATTGCTCATAAGTATTTTGGAGAGGTCCTTGATAGCACACTTTCCCGAAGCAACATGTCTTTAAATTTCTTGACTACTGGTACCAAGGGTCATGATTGTAGAATCTAATAAGATGAAATTGTTGACAACTTTAGTCTTTTCTCCATCTATCATGATGTTGCCTCTTGGCCCCGTGCTGAGGGTTTTTGTCTTCTTGATGTTGCAATGTAATTCACATTGAAGGTTGTAGTTTTTTATCTTCTCCAGCAAGGTTTTTAAATCCTTTTAGCTTCTAGCAAGCAATGTTGTGTCATCCACATAATAATGGAATATACAAAGAGCTGGAGTCAGAGAATGAACAGGGAAGAATTCACTCAGCATTTCTCAAGGTGAAAGAACTGAAAAACAAATTCAAGCCTTGAGTTGCAGTACTGAGAGATGTTGATCCAGAAAGCATCAAATGAAGAGGAAGGGAATACACAATCACTTATACTAGAGCAGGAGGGGTATCCACTTCCTAAACAACATCCTCTGGAAACTCTATGAACTTTGAGAAATGTCAATAGTTGTAGAAGGACTTCAGGCCTTTTGTTCAAAGGGTCTCTATGAGTCGTGCTCGACTTGAAGGCAATCAACAACAACTCTACTAAAAAGTATTGGGTGACACAGAAATATTTCAAGAAGTAGCATATGAAGGAGAACCAGTGGTAATAAAGGATGAGGTTCAAGCTGCAGTGAAGACACTGGCAGATAAGAACACCCCTAGGAATTTAAATGATTGACATGTTTCGAATGATAGATGCAGCCCTGGATGTGCTCACCTGTCTGTGCCAGAAAATTTAGAGGACAGTTGTCTGGCAAACTGACTGGAAGAGATCTGTATTTGTTCCCACTCTCAAGAAAAGTGATCCAACAGAACTTGGAAATTATCTAACAATATCACTAATACCACACACCAAAAGAATACTGCTGAAGATTATCCGAAACTGGCTAGAATAGTGTATATATACATTTTATTCAGCTTCACCTAATAACAACTTGGACCTAGGACTTGTTTTGGGTTTTTTTTAACTTTTATTTTACTAGTTTTAATGAACATTTACAGAGATTTTGGATTTTCATTCATACATTGTTGCATAGAATAGTATATTTGCAGAGAACTATTTGAAGTTCAATACCAGAAGAATGTCTCTGTGTTTTATTGACAATGCAAAAAGGGTTTTGACTGTGTGGCTCATAACAAACGATGGCTACCATTGAGAAGAATGGCAATTCCAGAACCCTTACTAGTGCTCATCTGGAGCCCATTCCTAGACCAGGAGGCCGTTGTGAGAATAGAGGAAGGGAACACTGAAAGTTTTAAAATCCTTAAAGTTATGCACCAGGGGTTTATCCCTCCTCCATACCTATTTAATGTATATAATGAGTAAGTAACTTGAGAATCTGGGCTTTATAGAGCAATGTTGCATCAGGATTAGAGGAAGGCTCACCAACAGCCTGCATTATGCAGATGACACAACCTTGTTTGTTGAATGTGAGGAGGATCTGAGGCGTACAGGGCTAGTGCTGCTCATTAAGGAAGCCTCACGGCGCAGTGGGTAAAGCCTGGGCTGCCAAACCACAAGTCAGCAGTTTGAACCTACCAGCCGCTCCATGGGAGAAAAATGAGGACATCTTCCATACAGATGTGCAGCCTTGGGAGCCCCGCCCCCCCACAACCCGACAACACCCCTCTGTCCAGCAGGACTGCTAGGGGTCAAGACAGACATGGCTCAGTTCACCATACTGTCCCTCATTCTGTGGAGTCTAGTTGGGAGTGTCATATTTGCTGTGCCTCCTTGTAGGAAGAGCTGCCATGGACACTGCTGGCTTTCTGCCGTGACTATTACAAATGACCACACACTCAGCAGTCACGTCAGGTTTGAACTGCAGAGTTCTGGGGCCCAGGTCCTACTGGGTTAACCTCGCCATGAGCAAGCACTCCTGGGCTGCACACTAAGTTAGTTTGTGTCTTGAGCACCTCCTGGGAAGCAGGAAAAGGAGCCCTGGTGGTAGAGAGCACCAAGTGCTGAGCTGCTGACTGAAAAGTCAGTGGTTTGAATCTCCTAGCTGCCTGAAGGGGCCAGGCTGGGCAGTCAACCCAACGAGTGGAACCAAGGGGTGGCAGTGTGCTGGGTTTAGGTTTGAGGGGGAAGCTGGTGGCCCCTTGAAAGGGAGCCCTACATGCCTGTCTCAGGGGACAGAATGTCCTTGCAGGTGATATGTCAGCAGCTGAACACGTCTACGTGGGCTGAGTGCATACGAACATGTGTAGAGAGGGCATCGATGAAGTGTGAGCACCACTGCCCTGTCCCTCCCCCCACAGTGTCCGTGCTGCCCCTCTCAACCCCCTCTAGCAGATGACCCCTGCCCCACCTCCTCTCACTCTCTTTCCTCTCCAGGATCAACGGTCACCCTGGGAAGTCTGTGCGCTTGGCTGGCCTGTGGAAGCTGGAGGAGGTCAGCATGTCCTAGAGGCTTCCTGTGTGTCCCAGGACACCTGAGCCCAGGATTCCTGCCTCTCCTTGCCACCCTAGTGGCTCCCTGACCCTGCGCTGCCCACATGTATGGGGTGGGAGAGGTGTAAGCACAGGCTGCTGTGCCACTCAAGGCCTTTCTTGTGTGGAGAGGGGTCAGAGAGGCAGGACACGGAGAGCAGGAAGGCACTCAGCTTTACTGGGAGCCGCCCCTCTCCTCTCTGGATCATGGACTTCCTCCTCCTGCTCTCACGTCTCCCTGACCCCCATCCACAGCACCCCCTCCCCTGCTTCACCTCCTTCCTATCACTCTGTCTTCCCCAACTCCTTGAAAGTTCCCCCTTCTCCCTCCTCCCCCTCCTCCCCAGCTCCCCACCTCCCTCCTCCCAGATTCCCTGCTACACAGCTCCCCTTCCTCTCTGACACCTTTCCCTCACCTGCAGTGCCATCTCAGTGGCTGCATGATGGACCTGTTTGTGCAGATGGCCACTATAATGGGGCTGAAACAGACACTCAGCAACTGCGTGGAGTACCTGGGCCCGTGAGGACCCCCCCCCCCGCCCCTCATAGCCACCCAGAGGGCATCTACTTAGGACCCTGTCCTCATTCTTAGACTTCCCCCCACCTCCCCAGGGCCTGCTCCCTACCCCCTCCCATCAGCCCTATCCCTGCCAGGTGGCTGCACAACAAGTATCGCTGGTACAAGCACGGGCCCCCAGACCCCAACCCCGAGCTCAAGGACTGGCAGAGCAACTACCTCCTGGGCTCTGTCACCATCTTCAGCCTGTTCGATGAGTTCATGGAAATGAGTGCGTTGGGCAGAGTGGAGCTGGGCACCTCCTCAGCCTGCAGGGCACCATCTCAGCTGCACTGATGCATGTGCAGCCAGGCTGGGGGCTGTGGTGTGGGAAGGAGCCTTGCTCAGCCAACTAATGGCCCTCTACAGCCCCAGTGATGCATGCACAGGCTTGGGATGCCCTGCCTGGCTAGGGGGATGCTCCTTGATGCAGTTTGTGGGTGGGCTGGGGGTGCTCCCAGGGGTGATACCCTCTGCCCCATTAATGCTGTTTGGGGGGGCTAGGGTAGGGCTAGGAGCACTCCTGGGGTGATGCCTTCTGGACCCTTTATGATGCAATTTTCAGAGGGGGGGCTAGAGTGGGGCTAGTGGGCGCTCCAGGGTGTGACACCCTCTGTGCCCCAGTAATGCTTTTGGGGATGTTGGGGGCTTTCCTGGGGTGGCACCCTCTGTGCCCCCAGTAATGCAGATAGTGGGACTGAGGTGGGGTTGAGGACACTCCTGAGGTGAAACCCTCTGTGCCCCAGTAATGCTGTTTAGGGGTTGGAGACACTCCCCAGGTGACACCCTCTTGCCCCCTCAGTGATGGAGTTGAGGGACTGGGGTGGGGCAGGGAATGCTCCAGGTGGTGATGCCCTCTGTCCCCTCAGTGATGCAATATGGCTTCACCACCATCTTTGTGGCTGCCTTTCCACTGGCCCCGCTGCTGGCCCTCTTCAGCAATGTCGTGGAGATCCGCCTGGACGCCATTAAGATGGTCTGGCTACAGCAGCGCTTGGTGCCCCGCAAGGCCAAGGACATTGGTGAGGGTGGGAAAAGGAGCTCAGGTGCCCAGCACCACCTTAGGTTTTGAGGTGCCTTGGGCTCCCAGCCCAGGAGAGGGAGGAGTGGGCACAGCTGAGTCACCTGGTGCTCTGGCCCAGGGACATGGCTGCAGGTGCTAGAGACCATTGGTGTGCTGGCTGTCATCGTCAATGGACTGGTCATCGCCTTCACCTCTGAGTTCATCCCTCGAATGGTCTACAAGTACCGTTATGGCCCCTGCCAGCACAGAGCCTCCAATCCTCCAGTAGAGTAAGGAGCCAGCACTGCCTTCCTCGGGACCACCCTGGAGTCCAGGGGCTGTTAGTGAAGTGGCCCTGACCTGGCAATAGAGTTCAGGTCCCAGACCCAGGGCTTCCTGACCTCCCTCCCCAGATTCTTCTCTGAGCTCAGAGCCTCCTGACCCTGCAGACTTCAGGGGTGCTCCCCTGAGTCTCAGCAGGGAAGGTGAGGGTAGAGTCCCTGCTGCCCAGGAATTGGGCAGTGCTTGGCCTATGGACTGTGCTCCACAGAGTGGCCACGGGGTCCCGAGTGTGCCCAAACCGTCTGTCCCACTTCCTGGACGCGGGCCTCTGCCACCTGCGCAGTGCCCTGCAGCCTGCCCTGCCTTGTGTCCCAGCTGCCTCACAGGCTACATCAACCACAGCCTGTCCGTGTTCCACACAAAGGACTTCGAGGACCCCCTGCAGATAGAGGGTTCAGAGAAGGTGACCGAGTGCAGGTGACAGGACCCCTCCCCCACACCAACCCATTGAACATCTGGCTCCACTTCAGCCACCCTCCCCCTCTCCCTCCCCTAAATGGACCTCAGCCCCTCCCCTCCCCTCCTCCCCCTCCCCTAGATGGACCTCAGACAACCCCTCTCCCTCCCCTACCCCTCTCCTCCTCCTCCCTTAGATGGACCTCAGCCATCCCCCCATCTCCTCCCCTAGATGGATCTCAGCCATCCCCTGCCACTTCCTCCCCTAGATACCGGGACTACCGCAACCCACCACCTGACTACAACCTCTCTGAGCAGTTCTGGTTCCTGCTGGCCATCCGAATGGCTTTCCTCATTATCTTCGAGGTGAGCAGGGCTAGGAGGGGGGAACCCAGGCCAGAGGGATCCTGGCCTAGGAGTCTTCTGCCCTAACCCCAAACCCTGAAGTCCCTGCTCAGCCCTGCTACCTCTCTTGACCCCTGACCTCAGCATGTGGCCTTGTGCATCAAACTCATTGCTGCCTGGTTTGTACCTGATGTCCCGGGGGAAGTGAGCAACACAGTTCTGGAAAGCAAGTTTTTGAGAGTTCAAGAGAAGATGAAGTACCAGCAACACAGAACTCCCCAGGAGGGGGCTAGCCCACCCTCTGCCTCCAGCTCAGGTCTCAAGACCACTGCGGTGTAGGGGACCCTGGACGTTTGGGGAGCATGCTGGAGCAGATTCCTGCAAAGCCCCAGCTCTATGTGTGTGGAAGGGGCTCTTGATAGGCCTTGTATATGGGGGTCCTGGCAGACCCAATGTGTTCTGAAGAGGGGTTTCTGGGCGGTGCCCTGTGTCCAGGCCTTAGAAATCAGCCTGAACCGGGCATTGGCGGTTCCCACATAAAATGGGGCAGTTCCTTGTCATGTGATTGGAAGGCAAGACCCTCGTTTTCCTAGTGGAGTTCAGTCAAGTTATCTGAGTCTTGCCCCTTTCACGCTGACTGGCTGTGGCACCTCCAGCCCTCCTGGGACCAGCCTGGCTCCCCTCAGAAGCACACATTTCTACAATAAAATAAAGCCTGATGTTCCAATTCTTAGGCGTGGGTCTTGGTGTGTGTTCTCAGGGCTAAGTGGGAAACTGAGGCCCAGAAGGCGTGTCTGGACCTGGTAGCTACCGCTCCCAGCTGCCCTGGGCTCTGCTGCTCCACGCTCCCTTGGTCCTGGCTCAGGGGTGGCGGCCAGAGGTCTAAGAAGGCTGGCCGGAGAATAGCGAAGGGGACAGAGCCCGGCGAGGCCCCTGCGGCAGTGACTCCTGGAAGGGCTGAGCGCGTTTGACCTTAGCTCTGGTGGTCGCTCCAGGAGGCTGCGCAGGAGAGTGAGTTGCCGCCTGGGGCATAAGGCGAGCAGCGCCCGCCCTCTGTCCGGGCTGCGGGGCGGGGCTGCACCTGCTGCCCTGACACCGGCGCAGTGCGTCCCTGCCGCGGACCTGGCCCAGGTGAGCCGCCCCGCCCCCGAGGTCGCACGAGCCCAGACCCGGCAGCAGGTGAGTGGCCAGGACTTGAGGGGTGTGAGGGACAGCAGAGGTCCCTTGGGAGCCAGGGCCTGGATGGTCCTCGCCTTGAGGACCCTCTGGGGTCGGGGCGAGTGTGTGTCGTGTGTCGTAGGAAGTGGCTCTGTGCCGCCGGCCTCTGCCTCGCCCGGAAGCCGGAGCCCGGAGGCGTCTCGGGCGCCCGGACCTCGGAGGCAGGAGCTGGGGCTGGGGTGACGCCCCCCTTCCCGCTCAGCCCACTGTGCCCAGGGGCTTCCTGGAGCCTCCCCTGGGAAGGAGCGAGGCGAGAAGGCACCGCGGCGGTGGGGACCCCTCTTCCCACCCCAAGCCCTGATCCTAAGCCTGCGGCCTCCTTGGGCGCCAAAATCCAACCCGGAAACGCCACAGGCTGGGGCGCACGGGCGGAGCTTCCGCCACGCGCGCCCTCGACCCCCAGATTCCCACGATCAAGTAGAGGAGGGGCGTGGGGTTGGCCACAGTGAGCGCCCCTCGGCACCTCGGCCTGCGAGCCTGCTCCTCTTAATGCCGTCCCCTGCCCACGAAAGTCATTGGAGACGCCGGACAGGCGGTGCAGAGAAAGCTATGCCTGCAGGCTTTCTAGAAGCCACTGGGAGAATGTTCTGGGGACACGCGGGATCTTGTGGTGAAGAGGTCGGGGTTGGTGCTGGGGTCCTCCGAGTGAAGGGAGACGGCAGTGCGAAGGGGACTCCAAGGGGACAGCTTGGCCAGGATGTGGACGCTGGCGCCTGCTGGAGCCTCCTGGGCGGTCTGAGTCGGCTTTGCCTCAGTGTCTGACCTACAGGATGGGGATGCTGGCAGGGGCGCACTTGCTTCCCCTGGGCCCTGCAAGGAAGCGTGCTAGTAAGACAGTGCAGATGGGAGGCCCAGAGGGGCTTGTTAGGGTCAGGCAGCATCTCTCCGCCCATGGTGCTCCATTGCTCGAGGGTCTTGAGGGTTGGTGGAGGGCGGCCTGGGGCAGGCCACATCAGATAAAGATCTGCACAGGTGACTTGGGGAGGGGGGGTAGACTGAGGACCCTGAAAGTGAAGTCAGGGCGAAGTTAGAGGACCCTTGTTGGATCCAGTAACCTATCTCCCTGGTCAGTGAAGGTGGGCATGACAGTAGGGTACCTGCTGCTCCTCACCTGGCTCCCTTGTGCACCTCTCCCTACCCCAGCCTGAAGCTGAGACCTTGTGGAGCCAGCCCCCTGGGACCCTTCATCTGCTTTGAAGACCTCCTTAAGTGGATGGGGGGTGCTGCTGCAGAATCCATCCTAAGACTCCTTATTGGTCAGGAGTTTCCTCCCCCCACCTCCACAAAGCCCTTTCTTGGGCTGACCTCCTGGTTAGGGCTAGAAAAGCATCAGGTGAAGTGACTCCAGAGTGGCAGCTCAAGGGGTGTAGGAGGCAGGCTGACATTGCCTGCACTGGCAGGGTCTCTGAGACACTCACCCTGGGCCATGGGGCCCTGTGCACCCCTCCCTGAAGGAAATGCGGTGGAGGTTGGGCGTCCAGAGGAAGGAGCTGCCTGACGCAGAGCACAGGAAGAGTGGGGTGGGCCTGGTGGCTGGGTGGGGTTCAGGGTCAGGAGAGGATGTGACTGCCACGTCAGAAAGCTGCCGAGAAACTCTGATGAAAGGACACAGAGACAGATGGACAAGGGCCTGCAAAGACCAGGTGTCTCTCAGAGCCTCGATACTGAGAAGAGTGTGGGAGTCCTGCTGTGTGGGGCACTTGCTCCCATCACACATGAATAACTGACTCCAGAAGCTGGAACCAGGTGACTCCTTGTCCTCTCATGTCCTGAGTGAGCCCTGCCTCTGGGAGAGGCCTGCCCACAGAGAGACATCAGTGTACTTGGCGTATGCCTATGTGTACGTGTGCGCACAGATGTGGCAGGCTGTGTACAGCAGCGGGACGGATGTGGTGGGAGAGGTGTCAGCTGTGTGCCAGGCATGTGAGCCTTGAGTTCTGAGGAACACGTGTACATGTGTGTACATGTCTCTGTGTGTGGGCCACAGGACAGGAGAGATTCAGAGGGAATGAGTGTGTGGATGGGGTCGTGTATACGTGAATGTCTGTGTATGTGTGTGTGTATATGTGTGTGCATGTGGGCCACTGGACAAGAGGGGCTCAGTATAAGCATGTGTGTATATATATGTGTGTGTGTGTGTGTGTGTGTGTGTTTATACACATGTGCATATGGGTCACAGAACAGGAGAGGCTCAGAGGGTGTGGATAGGGTCATGTGTAGATGAGCATCTGTGTACATGTGTGTTCATGTAGGCCACAGATGGGAGGAGCTTAAGGTGTGGATAGGGTAATGTGTACACAAGTGTGTGTGTACGTGTGTGTATACACATGTGCATGTGGGCCATGGGTCAGGAGGAGCTCAGTGGACGTGGCTGTGGATAGGGTCATGTGTGCATGAGTGTGTGCGCATGTGTATGCATTGCAGGACACACGACAGGAGCCCTGTGCAGGTAAGCATATATATGGGGTTGTGTGTCCACATACATGTATGTGTGCAAGTACATGTGTGTGCAGGGCACAGGACAGGAGCTCTGTATAGGAGAGCATTGCACAGGGTCATGTGTGCCTGTGTGTGTTTGTACATGTATGCATTACAGGGCATACAACAGGAGCTCTGTGCAGGAGAGCTTTGCACAGGGTTATGGGTGCCTGTGTGTGCATATATGTATGCAAATATATATGCATGTGTGCATGTATGCACCTGTGTGAGAAAGTACTGTGTGTGTATATGGGCCACAGGAAAGGATCGCTGCAGGTGAGCATATGTATGTGTGCAAGTACATGTGAGTGCAGATCACAGGATGGAAGCTCTGTGCAAAGTGAGTATGTGAACAGGGTAGTGTGTATGTATATGTGTGCATGTGTATGTGTATGTGTGTGAGTGTATAAGGATGTGTGTGCAGGCCAAAGGGTGGGAGCTCTGCAGGACTCTGTGGACAGGGCTTAATGTACACAGGTATGCATGTGCTTGCATGCATGTGTGTACACGTACATATGCTTATGTGCATCTGTGTGCATGTATGTGAGCACATGGATGTGGGGGTGTGTATGTTTGCGTACCAAGTGTAGGGCAGAGGCTTCTGGGCTCATGTCCAGTTTGTTGAGATCCAATTTAGAGGTGGCCTCTGTTGGAGCTGAAGGGCAAGCCCTGAGAGAGGTGCTCTGGGACCCACAGGGTTGCAAGTATGTGTCCCCTCCTGGTATTTTGTGATAAGGGGTCAGCTTTGTGGGTTACAGGAGGAAGTGCCAGCACTCTGACATGATGGTTCCCCCCCTAGTGGGTTGTTTTATCCCTGGAACTGTCCTGTATGGCCTCCACTCCACAGACCTCCTACAAGGAACTCCCTTTCCAGTCCTTGTGGGGTCCTGTGTGATAAGCTACAGTGGGACCTGTTTAGATAGACCTGGGGTTCTGGCTGTGGAGAGGTCAGGCTGGGTCAGGAAGGGACTTGGGATAGGGGCTGGGGTGCAGCTAGAGCCGGGGGGGTGTAAACTGGGGTGGGGAGGTGTGTGGACTGGGGGAGCTGAAGCTGGAGGGTGTGGACTGGGGCAGGGGTCTGGGAGGACATGATTGAGGCTAGAGCTGGGTGGGGTTGGGGACTGACTAACTTCCACCGAGGATGCTGTCAAGTGAGACCTCACTCCTGCCTGCAATTCCAGCACCAGGTGTGAAAAGGGCCTGAGGGAATGAAGGGATTACCGGCTCATGCTGGTCCCACGTGGGCCTGTACGCTCTGCAGGAGTGGAGTAGGTGCTGAGCAAGCAGGAGGCCTGGGCGGGAGGTGATGGGCTTCTCCCTCCACTGCACAGTGAGCTGGGTGTGGAGGGGACCTCCCCCATCAGGGCCCTGACTGCCTCAGCAGAGAAAGGTCACCTACAAGGACGCCTCCCTTGGAGGACAATTTGGACAGACATCTCAAGGTCTGGAAATGGCAGAGCAGGTCACAGGGTAGGATGCAGGGCTATGGGACCTCAGTGGAGGGGCACAGTGAGCCCTTGGACTCTGCCTCACTGGCCGAGAGCTGGCTGGTCTGCACACACATGTGCACATGTGACTGCCGAGCTGTCCAGGGCTTGCTGTGCAGCCATGCTTCTGTCATTTTAGTCCCAAGTCCTTGCCAGCTGGTGGCCTCATGAGAAGGGCCTGAGATGGGCCAGGGACCCCTCCCAGGCCTGGGCTGACACCAAGCCAGGCCCTCTGGGTTTGGATCTGTTACTTGTTAACTCATCCTGTTCTTGTTTAACTTGTTCCCTGTGATGCCAGCAGCCTCTGACCTCTCCAGGCGCCCTGACCACTGGCCACTAGCACAGAGAGAGCCCTGCCTTGGCCTGGGCCACCCAGGCCAGGGAGCCTGTAGAGCTGGGGTGGCACTGGGCCCAGCCTGCCTGAAGACCCAGCCATGGCAGGTAGGCGGGTGATAGAGGCTCCCCTGTCCTCACCCCCAACTCCCGCCCCTCAGGTCTGACTGCACTGCTATTAGTCTAATCCTGGAGAGTATGCCCTCACCCCTACTCCAGGCTTCCTTGGAGGACAAGGCTGCCCAGGCCTCTAATCAGAAGTGCCAGAGAGACGTCAGGGTGGGCCCTGAATCCATGGTCTCTAGGCAAGGCTGGGTGTGTCAGCGAAACCTAGGAAAGCTGGGGATTTGGGGCAGGGTACAAGATGTGGACTGAGGAGTGGCCATTCTATTGAGGTGAAGGACCTTAGATCTCTCCCCGGTGCTCGGACCTCCAGGCCTCAGAGGGTGACCTGGTGTAAAGGACTCTTCAACCCCCCAGACCACCTTCTGTCCTGGGTGGAAGGCTAGCATGAGCTGCCAACCCATCCCTGCCCATACTCCCTACTGACCCCTGCAGAGGGATATGGAGCATATGATGCCCTATACTGACACCTGTAGTGGGACACTTGAATGGGCTGTGTTTGACTTCTTACCCTGGCAGGTGGTAGCCAGGCTCAGGGCCTGAGAACACAGGCACTCGATGGCCCTCTGGGCCGGCTTGCTATGACCTGAGCCCTGCCCCAGGCTACAGGCTCTGGCTGCCCTCCACATTGTACCCCCTGAGGACAGGGCAGCCACATACAGTGTAGGTAGAATCTCTCAATGGGCCACTATTGTGGGCCTCATCCTGGGTGGCGCGAGGACAGAAGTGGAGAGACTGCCTCTGCCATTAGGTCTTTCATGGGCCCCAGGCCACAGTGCAGGGGGTGGAAGTGGACATCTAGGTTATGGTGGACCTCACTGTGTCCTCTCTGCAGATATTTGTGAGGGGACCCCTAACTTCATCTCCCCAGCTGGAGAACAGGCCCTGGAACTGCCTCTGAGCAGCACAGTCTCTCTGAACTGCACAGCCTGGCTGGGACTTGGGCCCAACTGTACCCTGCCCTCAGTGCAGTGGCTAAAGGGGGGTCTGCCACTGGACGATGGACTTTACTACAGCCCCCAAGAGGACCACTGGTAAGAGTGACCATGGTAACCATGTCCTGGGACCCCCTCTGTACCTTGCTCTGGTCTGTAACTGGATGTGAACTTGGGCAGCACAGCACTACACTGGACAAAGATAAAGGTCTAGTAAGGGCAGACAAAGCCTCAGGACTGGTCCGGAGGGGCTGTGACTCTTCAGGGCCAGGTGTGTCAACAGTCCTGGGCCAAGCCTGAGGTCAGGATCTCCTCTCCACAGCACTCAAACCTAGGGCTTGGGTGACTGTCCAAAACAGAGTGAGCTCTCCGCTCCCAGCCTGATTCTGGCCACTTCCCCACCTAAGGACCCAAGGATCACTCAGAAAACCTCAACCTGTAGCATCCCAAGAGAGGCCAGACAAGTGGGGCTTGGGTGTGTCCCTAGGTGCTTGCCATCCCAGGTGAGAAGTCCTGACTTGGTCTCCTCAGGGCTAGGGCCAACCTGTCAGAGGTGCTTGTGTCCAGTGTCCTGAGGATCAATCTGACCAGTGCGCAGGACTATGGAGCCTTCACCTGCTTGCTCCACAACGTCAGCTCCTCCTCTTTTGTGCTCCGGAGAGCAGGTGAGGGTATGCGCTGGGCGAGGTCCCAGACGTGGGGCACAGGGGGTGCTGCAGGCAGCAGCTCAGGCTGTGGCTTAGCCCTAGGTCCGCCTGGCCACGTGGCTGCAGTGCTGGCCGCGCTTCTTGTCCTGCTGACGCTTCTTCTGGCCGCGCTGTTGTACATAAAGTGCCGCCTCAGGCTGCTGCTCTGGTACAAGGACACCTACGGCGAGGTGGAGATGAACGGTGAGCGCTCTTGGAGCCAGAGAGCCTGGGGACACAGGGTGGGTGGTGGAGCGTGGACCTGCCAGGCACTCTCGTAGAGTCTGCCCAGTGGTGGTGGGGGTCTGGACACCACGCTGACCGGTCACCGTGTGTGTAGATGGGAAGCTCTACGATGCCTACGTGTCCTACAGTGACAGCCCCGAGGACCGCAAGTTCGTGAACTTCATCCTCAAACCGCAGCTGGAGCGGCATCGGGGCTACAAGCTCTTCTTGGATGACCGTGAACTCCTGCCCCGCACAGGTGCTGTCCCGTCCCGCCGCCCCCCCCAGCCCGCTCCCACCCAATCTGCTCCCTACACCCGCCTACCAGGCCCCGCCCTCTCATCCTCCTTCTCCTCGTCTCACCCACCATCCCACCCACCAGGCCCCGCCCCTACGCATCACACACTCCCTGGTCCTGTCCCAGCCCCGCCCACTTATCCCGCCCCTTGCTAGCCTCCGCCTACCCTGGTCCCACCCACTAAGTCCCGCCCACCAGGCCCGAATCTGCCCCTGGTCCTGCCCACCAGGCCCCGCCCCCACGCGTCACACACTCCCTGGTCCCGCCCCACTTGACACGTCCCCTATCGCCCCGCCCACCTTGCTCCCTGGTCTCACCCACTAAGCCCCGCCCACCAGGCCCATCTGCCCCGTCCCCCAGCCCACTAGGTCCTTCCCCTGCTCATCCCGCCCTCGCTCACCCTGCCCCTCCCCCGTCCCGTCCACCATGCCCCGTCCCCACTCGCCCCACCTACCCGGACCCCATCTGCCCTCCCTGGTCCCACCTACCAGGTCCCGCCCACTTGGCCCTAATCTGTCCCTGGTCCTGCCCGCCAGGCCCCGCCTCCATTCTGCCAGCCCCTG